CGTTGTGCGTGCCTTAACAATATGGCTTGGGGCACTTTCTGGCCTTGCTACAATTACGAAAACTGTGATTGCTCTGTAAACACGCAAATTAAAGTTTTTGTTCGGCTACATGTTTCGCCCATTGCGTAGCTTTTTTCTCTTCGAACATGGCGCAATTCCAAAGAGCGTGTTGACCTTTACATACAGAACTTTGAGGGATTTTTGGTTTTTCCTAAGTCTTATCACTTACCTTTGCGTTACTAGCAAACACTTTCGTACCTTCTTTTTGCTTCACTGGTTCTTCAGACTTACCCTTAGAACTAATTGTTTTCAGCCTCTCATGACCCTCCGCTTTTTCTTTAAGCCATTCGTTGAAATCTAGTAGAGTTGGTCGATGTCATTGGCGTCTTACGGTTTGCATTGACCATGACTCTTTAAGGTTTGGGGGAAGCTTACTCGCAGCTTGATTCAATAAATTAACACATTTCAGGTCATCGTTAAAAGATAGAGACTTGAATACGGCAACGAGTCCAGAAATTGTAGAGGAAAATTCAATTACATTTTCCTAGTTGTGTATTTTCAGCGGCGGAAAATTACTCAATTTATCTAGATGAGCCCCTACTACAGCATGCGGCTGCCCGAATTTTCTTTGAAGAGTTGCTAATGCGTCTTTATATAAGTACTCCGCTATAGCTATACTCAGCGATTGCGGATAATGCTTTACCCACTACGAGCGTTTTCAGATAGATAAATTTTTCATCGTCACTGAGTATGGCTGAATCGACCGTCGATATGAACTGCCCAAACCACTCATGCCAACTAATTGGGTTGCCATCGAACTGGGTCAGCTTCCACTCAGGGAGATGACCTTTTCGTCTGTGCATGAGTGTATTAATCAGCTCTCATGTCTAAAGTGGACGCTCGACGTCTGCACCAGGTGAATTACCGGGAGGTTGCGCGGGGTAACTCGAAGAATTACCGTGATAATCAGGAACGAACAAAATTATTCGGAGGAACAATCGGAGTTACTGCGGAAAAAAACAGTTGTCGAAGGAACGTAGTGTTGTTGAGCTGAAATAAAAGAGGCAACAATAGCTGGTCTCCACAAATTAATATAAGGATTATAGTGGTCACTTGAAAAGTTATAACTACTTACAGGAACACCCATATGATGTTGTGATGGGATTACAGGAGCTTGGTAGCCAGCTACTATTGATCCTGTAGTGTGATGACTGAAAGAAACCTGATTAATTGCTATTGATGCAGGAATGAATTGTGCTACACCAGAAGGAACGTCTGCAGATGTTGTCGGAGCAAAATAGTTTTCAGAAGTTACAGGGACTACTGACCCTGTGTTTGGATTACCTAGCACTGGATGAGTGGACAAAAAAGTTTGCTGAGGCAAATTATTAGAAACAGGTTGAATGACCTGCTGTAACCCTACTGGATTGTTAACGGAAATCTGCGAGTGGACCAAATTTGACAAATAATTTCGTTGTCCGAGAATTTGGTCGCTCAAATACAATCCTGGATCATTAGAAGCTGCCTGGGCGTTATTCACTCCTATAAAACTTGATGAGACCATGTATTTTGTAGATGCAGGATAAGTTTTCTCAGGAGCTGTCGAACGAATGTGCGGCTCTTGATTGGAAACTACAACATAGTCAGTCTGATTGTGGTCGACAGATTCGACCAAGTGACGCGTACGATCCTTGTCGTCTATTGTTAGTTGTGGAGAGATTCGAGTTAAACCACTTTCCTCAGCACTCTCGCTGATTTCCGACAACTCATCTTAACATCTTCCGACAACTCATCCGACAACTCTAAATTGCTTTGTTGTTCTAAAAAATAAAGGTAAGCCTTAATCAAGGCTGAACCAAATTATCGGAAATTACAAGTCAACAAAGAATAACGAACTGCCATAAATTTCAGTATTTAAAAGCAGAAATCAATGTCATAAAATACGCAAAATGAAAGCATTAAAAAGTCTCTTTTAAAATGATGCCTGAACAATTTGCAAACGTTGTTTCGATCTTTCAGTTTTTTTTTTCACACACTGTTCTTCGTTCACCAGAAAACTCATTAGTTACAACCTTGGTTACGACATTTCATACATTTGAAAAATTGCATCAAAAATCTATGGCTAGCGTTTTCTCATTTTTGAGAACTGTTAAAATAAAATTTTTCCATTCTGAGTTTATTTGTCAAAAACGAGAATCAAATGATCAAATAAAAGAAACATTTTAGTCCTTACTTTGAATTATCGCATGAATTTTCTAAGTTCTCATTTTTGGGTATAAGGCTAGGGAACTTCTATCTTAAAAAATTCAGTGGTTGAAAGGCATGGCCTTGTTTTTCGCTTTTTTCTTTTTGTCATTAAAAAATAGTTCTGTTGTTTCTACAGAAACTTAATCACAGCGATATTAGAATCTTCTCTGTAAAATACTGAGTCTGAGCCTCTTTGCATACTGAAAGTTATCAATCCTGTTTTGGCTACACAATCAAACAGTTACAGACAGGGGCGGATTTGGGGGGGGGGGGCGGACGCCCCCCCCCCCTCAGGGATTCGACCCCCTGCCGACCCAAAGGGTCCCCCCTTTGATACTTTTTCAGAAATCCATTTTTGGCCGACCGACCTTAAAATTTTTCTAAAGGCGCCTTGGGCGCCAATATATACTAACTTTGAGGGGGAGCGCGCTAAAAAAAAACGCGATTTTTTTGTCAAAATTTTTCAAAAATTGCCCAAAAACGGCTTTTTTGACTGTTTTTTCAAAAATTTGCCTGCGGCGCAGACAATTTTGTCAAAGTAGGGGCAAAACAGTGCTTTGGGAGAGCTTGAAAAATCAATTTGGTCGACCTAAAAAAAAAAGGTCGTCAAAATTTTGGAAATTTTTTTGAAAATCCGCCCCCCCCCCTCGAGAAAATCCTAGATCCGCCCCTGGTTACAGAACGCTAGTCACAATATTCCCATGTATGATAACTTTATGACTTACACTTTCAGAGAATAAGGGTAAAAAAAAGGGTAAAACTTCCAACAAATTTGTTTTGGTATCTACAAAACGCTGCTCTCACACAAGCAATCTTAACTAATGATCAAAATGTGCGAGACTTCTAAACGTTTTGTTTGTACCAATTGAAGCAATTCAAATTCGTTAGACATATTGCAAAATCATTTATTTTATTATGACCTTGAGTTGTAAAAAAGGAGAAAAAATTCCTTTACAGTGAAATTGATAGCAGCAGTTAGTTACTATCAACCAATTTAAAAGTTTATTCTAAAAAAAAGAAAGAGGAAGTGATAAAAACAAAATAAATAACTAAATTCTGACAAGTCACCAAAAGCCCAAAATGGAAGTCAAGAAGAATCAGAAGATAGTAATTTTACATTTTTACCAGAGATGATCCCACAGATGTATATAAAGGGTATGGTTGAATTTGTTTTCTTTTCACACTTATCAAATATTTTTTGATGGCAATTTTAAGAATCTTGAACTGAACACACAGAGTTTCTGAGGTACTTTAGAATTCGATAATTTAGTAAAAGATGGCGATTAATTGCAGTTGTAGCTCGAAAATACTTTTCGGGTCGAGGTGCTCACTTTATGTTTCGACTGATTTTGACCAATGTTTAGTATGTTTGACTCATCTTGCGCAAAATTCTCTATCTTTTGATCTTCGCGACCAAATTCCCATTTGTTTTGATTTTTTTGACCAAAAAATGAATCAAATGCTCTCGACCCAGGCAACAAATGTTTCGATCATCTTGACCGAATTGAGGTATGTTTCTCTCTCGGAATAAATTCTATAGTTTATGCTTCTCTGCCATTTATTCAATATGGGTTTAACTGGATTTTTTGGTAATTTAAATGCTTTGTAGAGTCAAGCTAAATTTTGAACTCAATGTTTTCCATCTTTTGGATAGTCTGGAGTGTCAAAACGGCAAAAAAGGTAAGGGAAAAAAACTGGTTTTATTGACTTTGTTTTACCATTGGACGATCGGACGGCTCGAGATATGTTTTGACTGCGCTCGTCCCAATTTTGATAAATTCATCCTTGAGAGATTACTTCAATACACTTTAAACGTGCTAAATTTATTTTCGACCGCGCTCGAGGCTGGTTTTGCTCTTTGTGTTTGTCCCAGAATCCTGTCTCGACTAGTTATAGCCGGTCGAGCGTTTGCAATATGATTGTCTTTGAAAGCCTTAAGATAAAGTTAAGTCTTTCGACTCGGAAACAAAAAGTAAGGCATCCTCAGTTTGCTTGTCTACACAAATTTACTCAAAATTCAATTGTATCGGACTTATCCGAATTGAATCATTTCCTACTCAGTTTACAGAATTACTCTTGGTCTCTGTTTTTAAAACACCAATAATTGAACGGGATTTACGCGGTGATTTACGCGGTAATCACTTATATTTCACAAATTTCAAAATCACGCCTCGTAATGTACCACTGCAATTTTGCTAGGTCAAAAGTCAATAAACTAACTGAATTGATAGAGGTCTTTACGAAGTCAAACTGTTTACTTTGTAACATATAAGTGGATTCTGCCTAAATCGCGTTCAATTATGGGCTTTTGGATTAATTTTTCAGTAAGTTTGTGTAGACAAGTAGATTGCGGATGATACTTTTTTCTCAGGTGTTTTTCTGTTGAGTTTTACAAAAAGAAGGCAGTTTGTGAAAGAAACAGCAGAACAAATTGGCAATAACATTTTACCCGTCTGCACTTTTCTTAATGTAAATTTTCTTCAGCATCCAGGAATTTATTGACTAGCATAATTCTCTTAATCGATCTTTCTTTCGATGGATTTGATCACAAGTTTCTTGAAAGACAAATAACCCAAAATGCTAAATAATTGTCAGAAATCCAGATGGCTATCAAAATTTACTGACACAGTTTACAATTTTGCTAGGTCATAAGTTATTAACTAACTGAATTGATTAGATGTGAACTGCGTCCTTAAATTTTGGTAAGCTTCTGACATTTATTTAGCATTTTAGAGTTATTTGTCTTTCAAGAAACCTTTTGGTCAAATTCATAGAAAGAAAGATCGATCAAAAGAATTATCCTTGTCAGTAAATTACTGGATGCTGAAGAATATCTACATTGAGAGAAGTGCAGACGGGTAAAATATTTCTGCGAAATTGTTCTTTTGCTAATTTCACCAGTTTTCTTTTATTTATAAACTTCAACTAAAAATTACATTAGAAAAAACTACCACCAAGAAAAAACAATTTGGTACACAAAGAATATTAGTGATGGTATCTAAGCGAGGCAAAATGTACGTTAGCTAAGTTTTCGGCAGCAAAATAGTGACATGTAATTAATAAGTAGGGTCTAATTACACTGTCAGCCATCACAAGCTCTTGTTGGTTATTTAAAATGTAATTTTTTGATTTTTTTTGCGGTGCTACTTAGCACTAACAACAGAAGTCACTTTTTCGGGGAAAAAATGCTAAAATTGTTGATCTGGTTTCCGAGAGTTCTCATTTTCAATCCCAGATTGACAATTTTCAACAATTTTTTTGAACAAAGTTTGCTCATTGTAAAGATTCAGTTACGATTCAAATTTATATTAGATTTTTTTATAATGTGTCAGCAGAAATAAAATTTACCCGACTCCAAAGAGTAACGACATCGTTATACACTGATTAATATGGGCTGTTGTCTGTTTTATCTTCTTTTAACTGGTAATTAACTTTTTTTTCAAAGCAATTGTTCAGCAAGTTGGAGAAAATTATCCTGCCCGATTGTAAATAATCAAAAATCGTTTTTTAAAAACTAGCTCAAGAAGTTAAACAACCTAGAAAAAAGTCTTATAAACCTAGAAAAACCTTGACTGTTTGAAACTCTCAGGCATTCGAATTTTTTATCATAAGAATCCCCTAATGTGCCGTTGAGTTCCAGTTTGCAAACAAAATTCCTGGTGAAAGACAAGACTAGGATGTGGATATCAAATTTGTTTGTTAAAAATGTACTTCGGTCAATCCAATCTGTGGTAAAAACAATTCGAGTGTTGAAAAATTTGACCTAAAATAATTTTGAACTAAATCTACACAAAACATGATGAAGCATCGGCAATAAGGTAGCTTGAATCACAGCGAAGGCCTGAAGGCTTGAATGCAGCTGAAGCTCTTAAAAGGTGTATCTTTTCTTTTGGCAAGAAATTAGTCAAAGAATTATTGACTGTTACCCCTGCCTCGCCTGATCTTAGCATCATTTTTGTGAAGTAAATTGAGGCTTTTTATGGTGATGCATTAAGAGAAATTAACTTCTAGCTCAGTAAGGTTTCACGCCGATTTTGATAATAACCAGAGAGGTTCAACAAAATTTCACAGGTAAAAGATTACAAGAAGGGGGAAACAACATAAGCACATACAATTTTTTTGGATAATCCCCTAGCGCAATTTTAAAAAGTGAACGACCTTTTTTTATCCTAATAGTTTGAATCAAAAAGATTGCCTAATTTTTTTGGCAAAACGTTTTGAGCTGGACTGAGTCACCGCTTACGATACACGCTAATCGTGATTTTGAAAATTAGTTCAATTTAAAATATTAAGATGATCAAACTGGCAGTTTTCAAATCCAAAGTTTTTGAATATCCTAATCAGCTTTAACTTTCCTAAACGTTTTGGATAACCCAATTGTTTTACCTCAGTGCTTCAATATGTGTCAGATTGTTTTATAAAATCTGTCAAATGTTGTTAAACAGAAAACCAATGTTTCTCAGGAGAAAGAACACCCGGGAACAAAAGTTCTCTACTTTTTTTCACTCAAGTGATGATCGTTTCGTAACCTTAAATAAAAAAGGGAAACAATAAGGTACATGATTGCTTCGTTTTAATAAATGTTTTTTACCCCAATAGAAATAAATACATATAGTTTCAAATGAATAAAGGTAATTTGACCGTGATGTTTTTTTCCTGGAAGTAAATTGTTGTAAATTGATCAATCTGCAAATTTTGAGATTAATGTATTCACTATCTGAATCTTGAATCTAATTATTCTAGGTGAACACAACATGCTTTTCTTTCATGCGAGAAATCCCGCTATTAAAACCGCTAAAAAATGAATCTAGGTGGACTTCCTGTCAGGTTTCATCCCATTGCGATCCATTTTTAAAGCACATTTTTATCAAATTTAGCTCAGCAAAATTGAATTTTTTCGACAAATTTAAACGAAATAACAGTTCAAAGCCCGCTAATGGGCAGTCGGAAAAATCGAAGATCTGATCTGATAGACAAGCTGTCTATTTGATTTGTATGCAAATTGCAAGAGTTCAATGTTTTTCCTTTCAATTTTTTTTAAAAAAAGTATTCGCTTTTTACGCTAAAAAGTTGTGGAGCTTCATTTTAGCCTATTTGTCTTTTTAATGCAACAGCACAAAAAATCAAGACTAAAATTTTGTTTTTAAAATGTGTATTAATAATACCAACCATTATAAAAAAGTATTTGTGAAAACTAGAAGACGCATTATTTATTACGTACAAAACGAAGTGCGACCGATAAAAAAATGCAATCAAAGATCAAAGTATCTAAAGATATAAAACTATAATTTTTAACAGAATAATCTTAGTCAATTTATATCCAATTGTATCTAAAGCTTTTGAAATTTACCTTGGTTCACCTTTAGTCTCACTGCAATATAACTTGCTATCAAGTTTTGCAAATACTGAGGTGTTATCATGGAGGGAAGACAGGAACAAAATCCCAACAAACTGGGGCTCTCAGATTTTTGTTCTTCCAGTGCAGCTTATCCAGACGTATTTGCCAAGCCACCACTCGAAGTCCAGACAATGCTCACAAAAAAGGTATATTGTTTTTTTCTTTGCAAAACATTAAAACTTCAAAAAATTAGTTTTATCTTACATAGGATGACTTGATAATAGTTTTTTTTCAACATGATGCTTCATTCTAGTTTTACTATCTTTTGACTTCCTCAAAACAAAATCACAAACAATAGTTAAGAAATTGCTTCAAAAAAGATTAGAAAACAGCTAAAAACTCACAAAACTAGCTGGTCATGAAACCTGATAAATAAAGAAACTTTGTTTGTTAAATCTAGCAATTACTACTGCTTATACGCATACAAAACTGTGTTTGATGAACGAGAAAACTCAGTTAACTCCAGAATGAACAACAGGGAGAGAGAAAGGAAAACAGTAGAGTTCGGCAACATCATCCGACGATTTTGGCGACAAAATAATATGTTCAACCTGAGAGAAAATGGTGATCATTTTGAATTTGATACTTTTTTTGTCGTATTATGATAACCTTCTCCAGTTACTGTCTTAGAGTAACCCGAGGGTCAAAACTGGTCTCAACTAAGGTGTACTCTCTTTTTTCCATGGAGTAGTAATTGAATCCAGTTCAAGTTTTAATGAGGCGAAGTGACTCCAATTAAATTCCAATTTAAATAAAGCAGTGTTCCGTTAGTTTAGCCATAATTTGCTTCAACTCGACCTAATTTCTACCCCCGTGATTTTGGTAGACATCCAGAAAGAAAGGGCGTTACTCTTTTTTTCTTGCAAAACTGTTGCAATATTTGCATTCCATTGACGAGCAATAGGCACGCTTTTGCAAAAAAAAACAGACTATTTTGATTATGAAAAAAAAATAGATTGAAAATAATTTTAAAAATTTATTTCAATTTAACCAATTTTAATGAATTGAGATGACAAACGTTATCATTTTCAGTGCCAAAAATACTGGATTATAATCTATTATAGAAGAAAAAAAATGATTTTACTTTTTCAAAACTATCGATTATCATGGCAATATAATCAATTTTGTTTTCTAATATCTATTATTGTCTGATATACTTAATCGGGCAAGCGACAATATTGCTTGAATAGACTTTTTCAGAACAACAACGTTTTTTGTAATTTCTGTAAAATAAGTTTTCATTCTTAATCACAAGTAACCGCGATGAGTTCATATTTTGACCATACCGATCAAGATAAGAAAGAGCGACAGCCTCCATAACTTGTTTTACGAAATCGAAAGATAGATTAATAGAACCCTTAAGCAGTCGATACAAAACAGCTCACAAATAAGGACCACCTCAGCCCCAGCAATAAAAAAATAGTAATGATTAATCATTGTCTTGATTGTTCCAGGGGTGGGCATTGGTAGCGTGGAAGAAGAGTGCTGTACTGACCAGGCAATGAAATATAAGTGGTACGGGTATGAAAACAAGAAGATGTCACCCGGGGAATATTTCCTCAAACTCACAGATTACGCGATTAACTTAAAAGAAATCAATTATATTCAGGTTAGCTGACAACTATTACGCCCAGCTCTATAACTATCTCGAGTTGATCGCTCAAAGAAATAAGCTCGGTAACTGCTCAAAAAAGGCAATCATATTTAATGGTTTTGTTATTTTCTATTACCAGTATAGCATATTTTAGCAGTAAATTAGCACTGAGTCAGCGCTTATTATGACAGTTATTTTTGAGAGATACAAAGCGATGAAATGGTGCTGATTCTTAATTGTGAAAAAGTTCAAAAAACCTACTATTGCCCGATCCCGCAAGTTTCGTTTGATTGGGCTTGTCTGTTAATTCTGCGCCACTTACTTTTACATAATTTGATCTTGCTGGGCTTTAGACTGGCTTTTTTTTATCAGCAAACCAACTATGAGTTACGCTGTTGATTATTGCGGAGTTATAGTACTGGTTTTTCTTTGAACCCTAAAAAAGGAAAATCCTTGAATTATGACAGGTTTATTGAGCTAAATACTCTGATTTATTTAAAAACTAATGCGGTAAAAGGCATCAGTGGGAAACTGCGACAAGAAAGGTGATCAACAGTGAGAGATCATCTCGGGAAGCCACACATTTCTCCTCTGCGTCTCTACG